TTCCCACTTGTTCTGAAGTCTGGTCTTGCTGGACCAGCAGTTTGAGCAGGTAGACCCAGACATATCTTTCCCCAACCACCAGCTCTTCTGGGAGGATTCCAAGGCATTCCCAGGCCAACCGGGAGTCTCTCCAGCGTGTCCTGGGTTTTTCCCGGGGTGTCCTTAGTCGGACATGTACGAAGCACCTCCCTAGGGAGGCGCCCAGAGAGCATCCTTACCAGAGTTCATGGCCATAGGTGAGGGGAGGAACATAGACCGACTGGTAAACAGAGTTTTGCCTTGCATTTCAGCTCCGTCTTCACCACAACGGACCGGCATAGAGTCCGCAATACTGCAGACGCTGTACGAATTCGTCTGTCAGTCTCAAAATTTGTTAACTGAGTTTCAAGTTAATAAAATGAAGAGGGTTGAAACTTTTACAACCCGTCATTTAAACATTGTAATATGACTCAGGCAGTTCAGTCATACTGAGCAGAGATTTGTCCTTTAAATTAATTCAGTTCAGTTTATTTCTATAGCACCAAGTCTCAACAGAAGTCATCTCAGGGCACTGAACAGAAACATTCATATATAAAAATAATAATTTAACATTATTTATCTGAGGAGCAGACTGCTTTGACTTATGAATTATTATTTGAATGATTATACATGTAAATTACAATTTCTTTTATTTAAACTTTTTTTTAGGTGAAAACCTCAAAAAGACATTTTTATCCATCACTGAAGAACTTTTGAACATGGAAGATTTTTTTTTTTTGTCAAATCCTGCATTGTTTCGCAACGCAGCAGTCCATAGTTGTAAATCTTCTAAATTCATGACAAAATCTTCATAGTCTTCCTTCTCATTGCTTGTGTTTTGTGTTCTGTCAGTGTTGATGGCGTGATGCGTACCATGAACACAGAGAAGTTGATCAAGACACTGCCCATCATTCAGAACCAGCTGGACGCCCTGCTGGATTTTCAGGTACGAAGTCCGTTTCCTCACACTACATTGAGTCACTTTCCAATCAAATTGTAAATGTTGAGAAGTTGTTTGCTAGGTTTGAGCCCTCTGTTTGTTGAAGGAGCACACGAAAGATAATATGATGGCAGATGTAACAAAATAGTGTGTGTATGGAGGAAGACGGGATCGGGTGGGGATTTGCTGAAATTGGTGGGTGTGTTGTGGTTTGTGCCAGCGAGCTTCAAAGGCTGATAAAAATGGATGACTGAAGTTTCTCATTTGAATGCACAGCAGATGTGTGCGTGTCTGTTTGGGGGTGTTGTGCTCAGCTTGAATGCCGATGGGGAACAACATTATCTGGAAAAACAGATCTTTGTGGATGTTTGTAACGGTTTCATTAAAAACAAAAATTGGTAAGAAGTGATGAAGATGTCTCTCTATATTCCTTGCTCTCTGCCTCCAGGCCAATCCCAATGAGCTGACCAACGGAGTGATCAACTCGGCCTTCATGCTGCTCTTCAAAGACTCCATAAGGCTCTTTGCTGCTTACAATGAAGGAGTCATCAACCTGTTGGGTAGAGTACACTCTTCACTCTGATTCTTCATCACTATTGGCAGATGATTTATGCATGAATCTCTGTCTGTCTTTTTCGGTCTCTTTTTTTTCTTTTTTCTTTCTGTCTTATGTATGAGGAACATGAACAGTGCATCCAAATAAATAATTGAATGTGTCCTCAATAATAAAAAAAACGACTCATAACGCCAGAGATTTTATGTAACTCAGATCTGAACAAGAGCTTAAACAGAATCACAGTTTAAAACGTCCAGTAGCGCTTTTTTTTTTTAATTTATTTTTAGAAAAGTTGGGCTTTTGTGTAAAGCTTGAAGCTTGAACCATCAACATAAAAAATAGACAAATCATTTCCACCTCCTGTGGTTGTTCAAATTTCAAGCCATAATGTATGTATGTATGTATGTATG